TTATATATTACTATAAGTTCATAATAGAGTGGTAACAGACTGTAATACAATATTCCTTGTATTGCTAATACTCCTGCATAGCTAAGATACTGTTGGAAGAAAATAAAGCATGAGAAAATAAAATAAAAGAAGTTGATGAAGGGTGTTCCGCTTTGGGCCTACTAATGGACTTGCCAAGTAACAACGGTCCAAAGAACAGTGATTTACAGAAGAGAAACACAGAAAGGTAGAGATCTGTGTGGATAACCATTAGTAGAAAATCCTTTGACAAGTGTGTTACTATAAATCAGTTCTAGGAAAAAACTTCCGCAAATTGTTATGAATTAGTTAATTTCGCGTGATATTACAACTAAAAGTAATAATGTTAGTTAAATCGTACACATATTTAAAATTTACCTATAAAAATAACGTATAGTAAATATAGGTTTGACTTAATCGCGTACTTTCACTTCGTCTAAGGACCGCTAACCTTACTTGCCTCGTCATTCATAATCAATTGACATTAACATTCAACTTTTATGCGAAAGATTAAAAGAGCCGCATTCTAATCAAGGAGAAAAAAGACATGCCAGGTTTTTTGATATAAAAAAGATACCAAACTTGATAGCAAAAAGGTTGCCGAAGCCCTTGGACGAACTTTCCAGCATCTTTAATGACATGACAAACAAAATTCTTTCCCGTCACCTCAGTGCGTTTCACATGGAAACGGGTATTTTCGAACTTGAATACCAGCCAAAATATTGGGATGTCTCATGTCTTAAAACATTCTAAAATAATATTCATGAAAAATGTTCTATTTCCATAAACATTATACTATGATATGAAGTTGCAGAAATACATATGCGTGTAATTTAGATGGCAATGGCATGGTAGAATTTTGTATAAGAAAATGTCCAAGATATTGTGAGGTTATAAACTCATAGATAGCGGTAAAAATTGTACAATCAATATAAACCTTATAATGAAGAACATAAAAATTTGCTTTCACATTTGTAAATGATGTTTGATGTCTCTTCCCTCCATTGTAATACAAGACTGACGTGCATGGATCTTTTTTATGTGCTTCTTCTATGTCTTGTATTACACGACATACATTTTCTATTTGCTGTTGTAACGTCACACGTATATCATTACTGAGAAGATGATAACCTTTTAATACCTGCATAAAAAGAATTCAGTAGGTTTAGTGCATAACTGGCATCTGATCGATTTAAATTCTGTTTTTCATTAATTGAAAAATAGAATTACATAGTACCAAAATTATACTTCTTATGTAATTATTACGAATATTTCGCACGTGCAACGAATGCATGTATGTCAATCTGTCTCGTTTTTTCCACGCATGCGCGAAACATTACATTCCTCAGAGTTGGCGCGCACGTGCTGGGAATCACCGGTGAACACGTAATTATTAATCACGACTGCTAATCTTAGTCGGAAGTGAATGCACTTTAAATAACAAAATTTGATAAATATAACTATATTACATATATGTATTTATATTGGACAAGCACGCACGCTTATGCCGTTCAAACGTTAACGTAGTAATAATAGTGGCAGCTTCAGAGAATCTGTTCATATTCATTATTGACATATTTATTACATTCCGAAAATACTCATATAACTATTTCAAAATAGTTCATATAACTATTTCAATATTTAATGAATTCTAAATATCGTTATTATTCACGTAATATATTTCCAACGACAAAATAAATGTAATTTGAAATAATGTATCGAAAGACGGCTGTTAGTCAAAGTTATTTTTATCTGATCGCGGAAATGGACGAGAAACTGTGCTTGGATCAATAAATTGCGTACGAAGATTGGATGAGATGATGATTTATGATCTTCTAAGTCTACTTTATGTTTATATGCCAAACATGAAAAATATAATGGAGACTGATTTATGTTAATTAACATTTAATATCGATTACAGTGCCTAGTTGTAAATGCAATCACAGAGTTAAGTATGTTCCATTTCTCGTACACTATTCTGTATGCAATGATTTGTATTTTTTTCGTACAAAAATCCATATTGGAAGATTATATTACGCGTAAATTAAATTTTGCGTAAAGCTTTCCCACGATTTGAAATTTCGTATTTGAAAGGCGAAAACAAGAAGCGCAATTAAATATATTTTTCACGAAAAATTATGCAAATGACGCTAAAAAGTTTAACAAATTATGTATTCTAATGTGTTGTTGAATATACAGAAGCTGCGGTAGTGAAGCAAATAGGGATAACTTATTCTCATGATTTCTCCTTCTATTCACTAGTTACATAATACAAACAGAAACCTAAGTGTAATAACTACTACATCAAACTTCCACCTTAGAAAGTACCTTTTTCTAAATTCTTCAGTGTTCTGAAATAAGTTGCGACGAATATTTGCAACGTTCTATTTAACCTCAAAGCTATTAGGACTTCTCAAACACTGAAACGATTTATAGTGTTGTAACTATAATATATCAGCAAATATTTCTTTAACTGCCAAATACAGATCAAGCGTATATCAGTATCATAATTATGTATTCAGTGCCATTTTTATTTGTGCATATAGTCACGCAGCATGAACGTAATGATCTTTTAAGTTCCGTTTTGCAGAACATTTCTTTTTCACTTTGTTATGATTACAATGATAACATCAAACAATCCTTGAATTAATCAGCAGACTTACGTACGTTACGGTACCGTTTGCCTTTCTCCTTGTCCTTTTTATACCGCTTCCAAGGATCTTGAGAACGGCCATTCATCAGCTACCGTAATATTTTTTTAGGCGAACGTGACATGTTATTCAATCTGTATTTTACATCGTAAATTCTAATGTCAATTGCTTGTATACTATGATGCCGGTTACATTTATATGTTTGTACATGTATATTGTATATTTGTATGTAATTAATATATGTATATTTATGCAAAACCAAAGTTAGATTTATTTCCACAAAAATAAGATTATACATTTTTTGTATTTATGTTAGATGTAAAAATGCATTCTTTCCGATTTTTGTGTGAAATGGAAGTTTCATTTTCGGAAAGAATTCATTTATACATATCTATTATTTTAGAATTTTAAAAGGCAAAAAATGTAGAAAAACAGCAGAATCAAAAATTGTTTAAGTTTTTACCATTATCGCATTCGCAATTTTATCAATCTTTCTGTTCGATAATGTTGGTAACTTTTTCGTTGCTTACGAAACTTACCATATCAATTTTTCTTGCATTGCATTAAATTTCAATATTATATCACATGCTAATTATGATAGTGTGCTATACTGGATATTTTGAAAGATAGTACGAAAAGGAACCATGACAAATTCGTGACGATCACGTACTCGAATTCATTTAAAAACGCGAGAAGTGGATGTAAAGTATGTATACACTCTATAGTCTCGAATCGTTACCTACTCAAATGGCATTATGATTTAGATCGTTATCGACAAAGCAAATAGAGAAACAATTTTGATTTTATTATCTATTACGCGATAACGATTATGTTCATCTATAGGGCAAAAACGTTGGTTTATTAACTTCGCGAAATTTCACGCGTGAAATTGTAATTTATGTTTAAAAATTATAGGCAACTACTCAAAACCTTAACAACTTGTTCGAGTAAGCATTATAGATAAAAAAATGAATTTATCGTGTTATGTATGAGAGAACTACCATTTATCGGCTAGCCACACGATTTTAATTATCACCTGCCAAATTAACATTAAATATTTGGACTACGTTTAACGTCTGAGCTGAGTGATTTAGCAGGTTACGATTTACTAGGTTATAGATTTTCCTGTATTTTGTTGAGCTTTGCTATATAAGAAAATGCGTCGTATTATAATTGGCACAATAAGATAAAATACAATTTAAAACTGTTTTAAAATTAGCTGGACGAAAATATCATTTAACGTCATCTATAAATATTTTGTATCGCTAATAGGTTAGACTGTTAAACACATAGTGGAAACTGAATATAAAATGAAAGTGCCTTGCTAAAAAAAAGGGAGAAGGGTTAAAATTCCCTCACGTCACCTTTAAATGATTAAATATAAAGATAACGAAATGTCAACGTTAACTTTCACTTAAGGAAATTCATTTATATACGAATACCGCTATATAAATTGTAACCGGTGTTTTAACTCCGTTTTGACATTGAACTAGTTACATTTTTGTGCTCAATGATCAACATGGGACTTTTTACCATCGTACTGACTGATGAAAAAGTGAGATAAATCTGGAGAGAAATATTTGTTTACAGTTACGCATTTAATCGATCGAGTATTTGCGATAAATTGTACAACTAGAGAATCAATTGAAGTATTCAAAAGTCAAACTGAACTACTTTTTAAAATTTTCATAATTTTAGTATCAAAATACATATCATTTAGGTTTTATTTTATCAGAAATGAAATCAAATGACTTCCATTTAAATGAATTAAAAATACCAAGATGACTTACTTGAAAATCTTAGTTTGTTGTATAACTTCATAGTAGTTGGACAAGGCTTTCAAAAGTGAGCTATAGTTTATGGTGCTTGCTCTCAAGATGTCATCAGCAAGTTCTGGTATGAAGACTGTCTGAGTCTTCCGCTGTTTGAGCATCTCCAATTCCTTAGTGACCAGATCATCGTGCAGCTTCATGTACTTCTCTTTTGCTTTTTGGAGCTTGTTCTGATTATTGTATACCACTACCGGCTCGCTACTTTCGGTACCAACCAACGTACGTACACACATGTTTCTTCCTTTCTTTTGATAACCGCCTATGCGTGATAAAAAGATAATAAATTAGTCTTCGAAACGTGCCGAATCGTTTACACCAATTACGCACGAAGGGCTCGTCGAATTTGACTCAAACGTTTCAGAAATAATTTGGAAATCGCGACGCGAATGCACGCGTAGACGAAGTTGTACTGTCGCACAGTGCGCCGCTCCGTGGAAGTAAACCCCCTTTTATAACTCCCCACCAATGATCGACAATCGGCCAATCACGAGATCATGTAATCGAAAGGGTTTGCCATTCGAGAAACCCTGAATTTACGAGGGATGAGTTCACTGATCTGTGATGAAGATTTAATGCAATCCTTATTGTTTAATTATCTCGTTGAAATAAAATCAAGGAACTACTTTCTATGGTTTGTATCTTTAAGATTAAGTTTCTATACTATAGTTATAATATAGAATTTCTGTCATTTCATTCTTTTACATAAGATTCATTTCCTATTTATTATAATGCATCATGCAGATTTTGTCTTTTTTGCAGCATTGTACTCGTTGACGTCAGTAATCGACACAAAAGAATCGATTACAGTTGAAATAATCATGTCCTTAAGCCAAGAACGAATAAGTACTATTATTACTTTGTAACCAATTTGAAACATATAATAGTATTAAGAATAGACTAAATGCTTTGAAGTGTGTCGAAAGTATTTTATGGTTCGATAGATATTAACATAGATCGAGAATATAATGTACAATAACATCTTTACCGTGATATGACATATTTTACTTTATATGGATGTTTTCCATTTCGTTTGGCGAACAAACCAAACAGGGGTTCAAATTGTAAATATCCTCCCAATTACATAAAAGCGCGGGAGATAAAAATTCGTTGGACTTAATTGACTGCCAGTGGTTGATAAAATCTCGATTTATCATATACGATCATGCAGCGTTTCTACAAGACAGAGTTAACGTCCTTTTATCATCTATTTTGCCAATCAATTTATAGGTCACATAAAATTCAATGGAAAATTTCATTAAGTAGGTTTGTTTTTAGCATTTTTCCTTTTACATTATAATTATCTGACGGACAATATTTAACGTTCAATATTATCGTTTGTGTAACGTTCCAGATTTTTTCATCTCATATTATTATCAATCAAGTGATATTTATATCCATCGTATATTTGTTATGAATATAATTGCATATTTAAGAATGTGATACGTTTCATTAGATTCGATATGAATTTACAAGATAAATTCGGGGATAACTTCGCGGGAAGAAAGCGGTGCATTATTCGAATGGAAGAAATAAGAACAGTGTTACAAAGAAGAAGAAATGATCGTGGAAAAAGAAGAAGAGGAAATGGACGAGCTGGATGGCGTGTTTCGACTGCGCACTAGCGTTATCCGGCAATTGCTGTTTTTTTACTCGCTTGATTTCAAATGAAGGGGTACCACCGGCGAACTACATAGTGATGAAAGATATTCGAGCAATAGGCATGTTTCCATGCTGTCCCTTAGTCGGCGACACTCACGAGAAACCATAGTTTGACTTTCAAATCTAAGGGCGTCATCTGCTTTTTCCTAAATTTCAATCAGTATGTAATATTAGCAAAATATAATTATAAAATAAAATTTGAATAATTCGATTTTGTTACGTTTTTTTCAGTTATCAATATATTTGTTACACAAGACAAGTTGTTGCGCAATACAAATTAATACAAACGGCTAAAAGAAAAAAGGATGTGAAACGTGACCACTATCAGTAAGGCCAAGGGACCAACATCTTTCCTTTTCATAAGAGAAGATTATGTACTTTAAAATTAAGTTGCTCATTTTCTATTACTCCGTAGCTCTATAGCTCTTAAATGTTATAAAAATTGTAGTATATTTAAACAAACTTAGATAAAATTATGAAATTTCTAATACTGAAATATTTTAGGGAGTTAAATAGCTATTTGAAGCGATTCGGTATGAATGAGTCAATGATGATTATATTATTTGAAAACAAACCTCATATAGAGCGTCTAACGTTCCATGGGAAGGTATATAGATAATTGATGGTTAAGTATTCATCAAGTTGGATTTACGTGCGCTATAGCATCACACAAACACGCTAGGCATCGTCATCCGAGTTAAAAGCGGCTCAGCGTAGAGTTGCTACGTGATTCCCTGCAACGTTAGAAATTTCGGTGCCTTATGATTCGGAGAATTTTTTTATATCTAGTCCATACAGTTCTCACGTATATAAATACCGAGTAATGGCCTAATATAGATTTCACGATAAAAAATTGCGTAATTAATTCTTCTTAGTAATTTCTTTTTCATATTATAACGATAGCCTTTCATTGCTAATTGTTTAAACATACATTAATTAGTTATCCACTTGCTATTTATTATTAATCTAATCTTTTCAGTATAAACAAAAGACTTTTCTGTAATGATACTACATATTTACCATATATTGTTTAAATTAAAAGCATGTTCTAAAGATAATAAAATATTTTCGGAAACGTGATTAGCAACAGGTTTCGGAATTAGGTGAAGGATTACGAAGCTTACATACGCATGAGGATCATCGCACGAGCTCGCAAGAAAAACAAATCTGGACTCTTGCGTTAAATGATTCAATAATCAATGATACAGCGAGCTTTCACAGTTACCATATGGTACATAGCAATACTGACCCAAGCTTCTTATAATCTAGAAACGAACAATTATGTAGTTAAGAATCGCAAATTCTATTCTCAAATCTTTTCTAATTATTTTCAAAATACATTTTATAAATTTACAATGATAGGAAAATTTATAAGAAATTCTAACTACACAAGGATAAAGATAATTGCAGAAAGAAATATAAAAAATGAATTTATCTTCGTTATTTTTTAGATTCAACATATTATATTTAAATTAAGAAGTTTCAATTACGTCAGGTAAATCGAATGACTATCCATCAATGTAACTATTAGCAGGTCTTAAAGACAAAATTATCAAGCTTTATATTATTACAGCTGTAACGTAAGATTAAAGGCTGTCGACCGCAAAATATTTGGCAAAGTACCACCCCCGAAGTGTGTATTCCTTAAGCTTCATTTATTTTTGGAACGTCTTTACTGACACTAAAGATGTTCCATTTCGATCATAATATTAATAGCATGACTCAACATTACATGAAACATATGGGCATGCATAATATTTGTACAAAGTATACTTTTCAACGCGAGAATTGTAATTAATTTGTAATGTATTTTTAAATTACCAAAATTAAAGATTCTTAACTTGCAGCTCGCAAATGCATGTTTATTTGGAGGGAAAGTAGTAGTTAGCCTTGCTAATAAATTTATTAATGAATCATATAAGTAGGTCAGCAAATGAAACATATACGTGCGTAAGAAGATAGCACATTAATCATAAATTTTTAAGTCGGTTTGTGCAATTGGAAAACGATCTTTGGTGTTCTTTTCTTCATAAAAGCAGAATTAATTAAGCCAAAACATTGTTTTTTATATTATTTATTGTTAAAGGAAAGATCATTATTGTAAGATGCTTACAATTGGCAAATTTATTTTATAATTTATACATGACGTATTACATGAAATCACATTCATCTCAAACTACAGTTCAGATCGAAGATAATAATGAAAAAATAACGTATAGAAATAAACTATGAATAATATGACCGTGGATGCTTAGCTAACAGCGATCTATGTAAAATACAAAAAGTAAATCATAGACATTTTAGCTCTGATCCATCACATTGGTTTCATTCATATTACTACCAGTACAATCTTTTTGGATTATCTCAAAAAGTGGTTGTAAGTCGGGCGTCGATTTGATCTGCGTTACAAACTCGCTCAACGATGGATTTTTATCTAAGAAAAGAGGAGAAGATTAAGGAATCAAACAACAAAATTAATACTGATGCGTAAAAAAATGATTTTTTACCAGCATCTGGAATAGTTAACAATGCTGCCACGGCTCTTAATGCCGAACGTTTAAGTTCATCTTGTTTTTCATATTCCTGTTTGACCGAATTTGCTTTTACCTTCAGTGTACAAGTGCTTTTTAATGGTTCAACTAATCGTTCTAACCCTACATACGATTCAATATTTCATTAATAAAAATCAATCAATTTATAATTTATACTACATACTTACTCTGCAAAACTGCTGTAGGACATAATTGAGCAAGTCTCGCAGTCATTAGATAAGTTAACATCTTAATGTCATAATGATCTCTGAGACCATTCTCAACGTGATTTAAAAATTCGAAAACATCGAGACGATCCAAACAAGAGTCGAGTAATGTATACATGCACTCGAATGCTGCCTTTCTGAGATCTAAGCCATCATCTACTGTATGTTTGAAGGGACCCATTTCCACCTCTCTTATTAGTTCTTTCTACATTTAAATTGTTTCATACACGTAAAATAATTATTCAACAAATAATTAATTAAATAATGATAATTAATTAAATTGTTCCTTGTCGAATACCTTTATCTTAGTTTCAGCGTAAAGATGTGGTAACACGGAATCTAATAAATCTCTTATGAGCATTGGTTTATTGTGTGCTGCTGAATTAAATGCAACTAAAGCTACCCTTCTGACATTCAAATCGGGATCTTCCAAAGCAACTAAGAAACTATCCATACGTTGTTTTAACATAGCATCGATTTGTTGTGGCTGCAAAGAATTTCATAAAGAATTAAGTAATTTATTTTAACAAGTAAAACCAATGTATGAAATACCTGGTCAGAAATAGTAAATTTAACAGCAGTAACTGTAGTAGTTCTCAAAAGAGCAGATGTTGATTTTAATGACTCTTGTAATCTTGGCAGTAAAGTAGCGGGATCGATCAATGTAAGTTTTCCTAGGCACTCTGCTACAACGTTACGGGTACCTTCTTCCGTGCATTCACAATGCCTATACAAAAGCATCCAAATCGAAGGCACGAAATTTTGCAAATGAGACACCCCGGATGGACTAGCAGATTGACATGTAATTATCTGCAAGCCATTAAATTTTCAAAGTTTTAAATGAAAATAAAACAAAGCTTAAAATATTTAATAAAGGTTACCTCTTTCAACGAATGTAAAAGAAGATATTGACGCTTTGGTTGTGCCTCGATTTCTTTCAAAATGAATGGCAAGTATTTTGGAAGATTACCAACAGCTATGTTACCCAATGTATAACTAGCTGCTGATTTTACCTCCTCTGAATGGGAAGAGAATGAATTCAAAATTATATGTTTCAGAGAACTGATTTCACTCAAATCCCTAAATAGAAAATAATTTAAGTGACGTGAACAATTTGAAATCGACATAATAATATATACTTACACATGTCTACCTATTTCACCAATAACCAATAATGCAAAAATATGCTGCGCATCACTTTGAGGATTTTGAACGTCTTTCAGAAATTGCTCGACCACCGCTTGAGCTTCTTGATGCCATGTGATTGTTAATGCAGCTGCACATTTTGCGAGGGAATGATAAGCTTGTTTGTGAAGTACAGATTGACTGACAGGAGCTAACAACATTGAGAGCAATTCTCTGTAACCAAGACCTGGTATATCTGCTTGTACTAGTGCTTGGAAAAATTCCAACATCGAATTCAAAGCCACACCTAACACATGAAGAAGAATTCATTATTAATATTTTTATTATACATATATATCTTACATATTTTTTAGTTAAGTATTTAAATATACATTACCTTGTAAAAGTGGAGACTTCACCAGAACTAATATTTCTGGAAGGATGTTATCAGAAACCCTTGTAAGAGCAACTGGATGTAACTTCGCTATGGTGGTGAGAAGATTAAGGGTTAATTGCGCAATATGTAAATCGGTCTCGTTTAATAATGCTGGTAATTCTGTAGTAACCTAATAAAATATTCTATTATAATATGAAAAAAATATTCTATTATAATATTTTCCTATTTATTACCTTATCCAATAAATCAGCATGAAGAGTAGAGCTATAGTTTCGAACCAAGGTATCCAGAAGTGGAAGAGAACATAATTTTAAAGCCCGTTGATTTTTTCTCAGAAAAGATCCAAGAATTGGAATTGCTTCTTCCTGTAAAAAAAAATACAGTAAAATGAAGCAAATACAATAATATCAAAATAGTATAAAAATGTTTATCAAAACAAAATCTGAAGTATTAATCTGTAAAAAACAATATAGCGTACATACCATAATTTGATTAAGATCTACTCTTAGAGGAGACGCTGCTATACATGTCAAGGCTTTCACCGTCGTAAGTCGAGTGATCTCATTACGTAGTCTATCCAGGAATATAGGAAGGCATACATGCAATTCGTCAGACAAAGTATCTCCAAAATGTGCGAGAATTTGACCCATGCATGCGATTGCTCTTTCCTTTACTTCTTGATCGATGTCTGCTGTTCTCAGTCTCATTAACGTGCAACGATATATTTCCCCAGATAATGATGTAAAATCAAAGTAACATGTTTTATCTGAAATAATATTTATGATAACGAAATAAATTTTTTATTGATTCATTTATAAATCTATAGTCAAACAGATTTGTTTACCATGTGGCCTGATTACTTGCACAAGTTGTTGTAATACCAA